TGGTTACCGCTTTCTATAATTGTAGAATGATTAAGAAGTTTGTGCTTTGTACAAATTTGTACTCTTGTTTCATTTTATAAATTATTTGAATGCTTAAGTCACTTAGGTCCAAAAGTCACAAATTGTGAGAAACCTCTATTGTTTACTAAATGCTTGGATAATTGATATCTTTGTTTAATTCGTTCGATTCATGCTTAATCTTTTGATTATTATGATTTTATGGAAGCATTAGAAAGGATCAAGTCATTTGTTTATATTGAGCACAACCATATCCAAAAATAACTTACCCGTGAGTAGTGAGAATTCGTTAACCCCTTTGAGCCTAATAGATTAGATCTCAATTTTAGTGATGAAAGTTCTTCATTGAATCTTGTGAGATTCTAAAAATATTTGTCTTGAAACCTTTGAACTTGGTTCTAAATTTATTACCTTGCCATAAAAAGCAAGAAGCATTCGCTAGAGGTTTGATGGTATTCAAGTTGATGAGAATGAAAGAAAAGTGGTAGGTTATTCAAAATTTTAAAATATTTCAAATAAGCAAAAAAAAAGAGAAAAATTGTGAATATGAATGTGAAAAAGAAAAGAAAAAAAGAATGCTTGTTTGAAAGAAAAAAAATAGAGAATGCAAATAATTATGCAAAAGGAAGTTTGAAAAGGTGAGCAATTGAAAAAAGGGATTGGTGAATGAAGTTGTAATGTGTAAATAACTTGTATAGTGAATGTATCTTTTTCATTGGCAATTTCAATTCAATGGCCTTTAAAAATGACCCTTTGTTATGCACCCGACCAAGCTATAACCTTGAAAGCTCTTAGTGAAATCTTGCTTACATAATGTCTGATTTGATTGATTGATAAATGTATGAAGTAAATTGTGTTAGCATTGTTGTTCAGTTGAGCGTAATTGTCCTGCGGTTGCAAATATGCAATTTCTTTCATCCATTGATTGACGAGGAATGTTAGAGTGATTCAAGCATGAGAAATTAGTTTTTTTGGTGAAACATTGCATGATGTTTGTTTAAGAACTAAATTCTTTTTCATTGTTAATTCTAGGAAGTTGTGATCTTTACTTGTATGCATTTTTATGATTGAATTTGAACCATAGATCTTTTTCTTGGTTGAATTTATGCTTGAGCAAATCTGCTTGTAGTTATGAGGGGCATACTTTGCTTGAGGACAAGCAAAAATCTAGTTGGATATAGTTTGTTGAATGCCAAATTTTCCTTATTTTGATCTATGATTCTTGCCATTTTTCAACTCATTTCTCAAGTTTCAATTGAATTATATGTTCTTATGTGATTCTTCAATATAATTGATTTTACCTTTGGATGCCTTGATATGTGTGCTATTGTGTAGGAAATAGGTTGGATTGTCAAAGAACTAGACACATTTGAATGGACAAGAAAGCCAAAGAAATGAGGAAGAAATCTACAGGTCCGTTGTGCAAAGGATAGCGAGCTCCCGGTGCAAGCTCACAACAAAGGAACAATAAAGCAGAACTTTTGGATGGCAGTAGCTAAACCCCTGGTTAGTAGAAGTGCGAGGTCTCAACGAGCAGGTTCGTAATGCAAACAAAAGCTTCGCAATGCGAAGTCAAGGAAACCTCATGGACAATTTAACTGTTCAGAGACACTTGAAGTGCCTATAAGTGGAGTTCGCATTGCAAACAAGGTGTTCGCAGTGCGAACATGACAAACATTGGAAAAATATTTATGTCCTTTTTTCCACTTTATGGGGATCATAATCTACCAACTCTAATTTTCTGATATTGCAACATTGGCTTGGGGAGAAAAAACCCCAGTTTCATCATTTCTTCATTAAGAAGTGATATTTTCCAAGGAGAAGTTGGATTCGCATCCTAGATCGATTCTTCATCTTGAATGCTCATTCATCTTCTTTCTTTTCTTGTAAAGCAAGCTACCATGTCAATGGGTAGCTAAATCCTTTGTATCAAAGGTAGAGGTAGTCTATCTTAGCTTGTATACATTTCTTTTGATCTATTTGTATGTGAACAAGTAATTGATTAATATATGTTGAATGTTTTTGTTCTTAATGATCCATTTATGATTTGTATCACTTTAGACATAGATTTTACAAATCTTGATCTAAAATATTCAATCGTTAACAGACAAACTCTAGACATAGATTTGTGAGTTGATATTTGCTTTGTGTTATTCCTAACGATTATTGTACCGGTTGCTAGCATGAGACATCATCTAATGACGAATAAAATAATATTCACGACACCGCTCTAGACATAGGCAATATCGAGAGGGTACACAATTGTATTAATCGGAAACGAGTTTACATACTTGATTAGTCGAATATATACAAGTTAGGTTGACGAAATCTATCTTTGATATTTCTTGTTAAACAACATCTTTTAGAATTTAAATATTTGCTACAAAAATCGTGACAAACTTATGATCCAAAACAAATAAACTTTGGAAACCCTTCTTAAAACATTTTAAACTACAGAACGACAAGCGATATCACGATACTCCCTGTGGAGACGATATACAAAACCCCTATCACCTACACTGTTTAACAATTATCACATTGCATACGAGTTGGCATTTGCAAATTGATGATTGTTGTTTGAATGCATTACATGTTGATGATTATTGTTGTTATTGTTGTTGTTTAGGCTACCCTTCCTGATCTTTTACACCACTAACATATTTGAGCTTATTCTCGTCCCTTTACTTTATGTTGTCACTATGGATATCTTGCAGATAATCAAGAGTAAAGTTTGATTGTTGTGAGTGAAAGATAGTTTCTTGGAGGCCATCTTCATTTATTTTTATCGTTATCATTTTAATCAGTTAATGCTCTAATGTGTAACATCGAAAATAAGAAATTTTTATTTTATTTTGAGTTAATGCTGAATTATGTGATTTAAAGTCTAATACATTATTTGTGAAATTTGATTGCATGTCGTTAAATCTTTCAAAATTTTTTGGATGGTTGTTGTAGTGACACCTTAAATTATTGATTAAATATTTTTATTTAAGTTTCGAGATTTAGAGTGTTACAATTTTCGTCTTGAGGCTTTCTTATGGACCTTCTCAATTTTGTCATTAGAAAATCGATAGCTAGATTAAGGAAGTCGGAGAAAATATACTTTATCGTAAAGTTGGAGATGAGATGAGTTTAAGATGTAGGGTATAAAGTGAACATGTAAGGTTATCTCACCTTAATTATTGATATTTGCTTTGTGATTTGGTTTTAGATGGAACGGAATTTGATAGTGAAATTTCGCGATTCCTACATACTATGTCAATGTTCCTTACTCTTGAAGCGACGATCTTAATCTTCAATGCAGGATATAAAGTGAACATGTAAGTTTATCCTCTAATGCGCATGACTGTTCAAAATAAAAAATAAGTGACGTTAAGAGTATATATAAAAAAATGTTCTTAATATTTAAAAATATAATATTAACTTTAAAAAAAGAAAAGAAAAGAGAATATATTTGGAAGTTAAAATTCTTACAATGAGGATTAGATCAATGGAAAATCAATTACGATAAGGAAATCATTAGTCCAAACCATTTAGTAAAAAAAAAGGAAGAGTTTAAATTTGGGAGCCAAACCCAAAACCCAAAAGGTAGTTTTGTTTTGGAAATTGTGACATTCTTTCCAAGAAGCATATATACTATTGAACAATCTACAAATTCAAGGAAATATGGACGGCGCATGAGACTAACTATAAGAACAAAACAAAAACTAAAGAAAACATTCCCCATTTCCAAGTGAAAGAATTGAAAGATGATAATAATAAATAAAACAAAACTTTAACACCAAAGTCTACATGCTAAACAATATTTAACATAATAGCAACACAAAAGACATGTTGATGGTAGCTTCTAGCCTTCTATTAACAGTTAAAAGCAGTGAGGGAAAGGAGACATGAGCAGCATGACCAATCCATAAACCACAAAATTGGGTAAGTTGCTATTGTTTTTAAAGACATGAATTGAAGGATAGGTCAGAAGAGGCTCAAAGTAACACACCCTACATTCAATGGAACCACACCTATTATCAATCTATGGAATCAAACGTCACATTGATGCTTATAAAATACTATAAAATATGTACTCACAAGATGGCAAATCTAAAAAAAAGACAAGTTTCTAGTTTTTGATTTACATTCATTCAATACCTAAAAGTGAGATAAGGCATTGTATGTTAAATTTTGTTCCTATTCATAAAATATTGGTAGTTGACAAACATAAAATTTTATTGAACTATCTAAAAATCATATCAACTGAATCAACTTATATTGGCAATAGACAAATGATATGACTTGACCACTATGCTTCTCTTCCAAACATTCCATTCCATGTCTAACAAAACAATAATTTTTTTTTAACATTTATTATTACAATTATTTATACATGACCTTTCTTTATCTTTATTTTTCTCTTTAACTACTTTTACTTTATTTCCAAGACCCAAAATGTTCAAACTACTGTACACAAAATTCAGCTACAGAACACTACTAGATCTCACTTCACACTTCACAATAAAACCAAACAACAACAACTCTCTCCACTTTGCTGACTACGGTCAGCCTTTGTTCAACTGCCCGCCTCATTTCACACACAAACCATAAAGCTAAACCAACTGCCCGTTGCCCTTTTTCTCACAACCTAAGATTATTATTTAATTGTTTAATAAAGCTCTTATATATGTTCTCTTTTACTGCACTTTTTTCTGTTCAAATTCGTTACTTTGTTTTCTATTGTTGTTACATAGAACAACGAGTTTGCTTTGCTTTCTCTTTCTATCTCTAACCTTACTGCATTGTCTTCTTCTACTTATTACTTCAGAATCTCTTCTCACTTCCATGCATTATTCATAAAGGCTTGTTTTTTTCTCTCTCTAACTCTCTCTCTCTCTAGGAGTTTTTATTTGTGTTGCAAATGAACTTGTTCTTGTTTCTTAGCTGAAAATATTAGTAACTGGTTTGGGAGGTGTGTATGAAGTAGAGGTGTCAAAATGGGAGATGAAAGTTCAAAGAAAACTAAGGTTTTTGTTAATTGTCGTTGTTATTTTGTTATGGAAATGAAATTCAATGTTTTTATGAGGTGTTGATTTTGTGTATGTATGATGTTTGATGAAATAGCTCTCGTGGTCGAAGAAAATGGTGAGGAAGTTTTTTAATATCAAGTGCAAATGTGAAGATTCTCGAGATGATGACGTTGTTTGTGGAGGTTGGTGTTTTTGTTTTTCTTCAAAATTGGCTTTGTAATAGTGATCAGTTTCAAGAATTTGAAATAAAATTATGTTACTATTGTTGTTTCATTTGGTGAATTGAAGGTTGTAACTTGTAACACTGTTTTTCTTTTGCAGGAAGTGAGGTTGAATATGGAAGCAGGAATAGCTTTTCTGAGAGAGAGCCATGCACAATCAAAAAGAGCAAAACAGGTTAAAAGAATCGGTCAAAACCATTTCTTTAACTATTATAGTATCATTTAAATGCTGACATTTTTGCATTGCTATGAACAGAGAAGTTTAGTAGGAACAGCAGTCAGGTTAGACGAGGAAGAATGAATCTCGATCATCCTCGAATTATAGATGTGCAGAACTATAGGTAATCTAGTTCTCCAATTTTATGTTTTTTGGCAAGAAAAGATAAAGGTTTTGTTCTGTTTCTCATGAATTGTGTGAATATTGAGCAGCATTTTTGTAGCTACATGGAATGTAGCTGGAAGATCCCCACCAAGTAATTTGAATGTAGATGATTGGCTTCATTCTTCACCACCAGCTGACATTTATGTTCTTGGGTAAGAAGTGTTGCTTGTCGGTATATATAGTCTTCAATTGAAGTTGACATTAACTTTTCAGTTAAATATGTCTGGTCTCGATAATTATCTCGAATTTTGCTTTTAGTCAATCTCTACAAATTACAAAAAAAAAAAAAAAATGAATATGTAAGGCTTAACTGTTTTACCAATGATATATTTTTTTATTCTATCTGTTTCTTACAGATTTCAAGAGGTAGTTCCATTGAATGCTGGTAATATCCTAGGGGCAGAGGACAATGGCCCTGCCAAAAAATGGCTGGCTCTTATCAGAAAGACTTTAAACAATCTTCCTGGAACAAGTGGAAGTAGTGGATGTTATACACCATCTCCAATTCCTCAGCCAGTTGTAGAGCTGAACGCAGATTTCGAGGGATCAGCTAGGCAGAAGAATTCGTCTTTCTTCCACAGACGATCTTTCCAAACGGCTTCTAGTGGTTGGGGAATGGACAATGATCCTTCAAATGTTCAGCCGCAGGTAGATAGAAGATACAGTGTATGCGACCGTGTAATTTTCGGTAACAGGCCTAGTGATTTTGATCCTAGTTTAAGATGGGGTTATAGGCCTAGTGATTATTCAAGGGCAAGTGACTACTCGAGACCGAGTGATTATTCAAGATGGGGTTCCTCTGATGATGATAATGGCCTTGTGGATTCACCGAGTACAGTCTTATTTTCACCAATGTCAACTAATTGTGGATCTGCCTCTAATGAAGATGGATATAGCATGCCGGGACATTCAAGGTACTGCCTTGTTGCAAGTAAGCAAATGGTGGGAATTTACCTTACCGTATGGGTAAAAGGTGAACTCAAAGATCATGTTCGAAACATGAAAGTATCGTGTGTTGGCAGAGGATTGATGGGTTATCTTGGAAATAAGGTGAGTTTAGCTTATTATGACTCATGACACCCCGACTCTTGTTTTTACATTTGATTAATAAATTTACGGAGAAAATGATGGTCACTTGTGTGATGATTGGCTTAAATGAGAGTTATTTTGGTTGGATTTTGCAGGGATCCATCTCAATTAGTATGTCTGTCCATGAAACAAGCTTTTGCTTTATATGTAGTCATTTAACCTCAGGACAGAAAGAGGGTGATGAACTAAGAAGAAATTCTGATGTATTGGAAATTCTTAAAAAGACTAGGTTTCCTCGTGTTCATGGCGTGGACAACGAGAAATCTCCTCAGACAATCCTTGAGCATGAGTAAGAATGAATAACTAATGCTTAATTAAGTTCCTATGAATAACCTATTGAATAACTACTTAATTAGAATGGTTTTTATTTTAGTTTTTTCTTCTCATTTGCATATTCTCATTTTAAATTCATTAATGTAGTCGAATTATATGGCTTGGAGATTTGAATTATCGGATCGCTCTCTCATACCGTTCTGCGAAGGCACTTGTTGAGATGCAAAACTGGAGAGCATTGTTAGAAAATGATCAAGTATGTCTCTTTAATCTCATCAATAATCCCATGTTTATTGTTTTCCTCCAATGTAATATTATGTAACAAACTTAACAAGCCTTAACTATTGACACTCGTGACAGTTGCGAATAGAGCAAAAAAGAGGTCGCGCATTTGTGGGATGGAACGAAGGGAAGATATATTTTCCTCCAACATATAAGTATTCAACTAATTCAGATCGATACTCGGGAGATGATATGCACCCCAAGGAGAAAAGGAGAACACCTGCATGGTAAGATTTCTTAGAATTTGGATTAAGCTTAATTCAACTCTACAAAAGCGGCTCATATACACATTTTTCAGACCTTATTTGATAAAATGTTGAACTCTTAACAAGATTATCACATAGCTTAATATGAATTTAGAAGACATTCCCTATAAATGCTAAAAGTCAATTGTGTTCCATGGAAAAAATAGATGTTACAAAATGAAGTATGTTTCATGATATATGGTATAGTTTGGACAAATGGTTACAACTTATGCTGACATGAATATTTTTTGTTTCATAGGTGTGACCGTATTTTATGGTACGGAGAAGGTCTCCATCAGTTATCTTATGTTCGCGGGGAATCAAGATTCTCAGACCATAGACCAGTTTATGGCATATTTTGGGCTGAGGTTGAGTCAACTCATGGAAAATTGAAGAAAAGTATGAGTTGTTCTGGTTCCAGAATTGAGGTGGATGAACTTATGCCATATTCCGGGGGATATACTGAGCTAAACTTTTTCTAAAGATATGGAAGGCCGAACAAGAGACGTGTCCATCCATAATCAAGTACTTTATCTATTCCTTACACACTCTCATAATCATGCTTGTAAGATAGTGGAACTCAAGCCTCTTAGAGTTTATATTTTTCTTCTTTTTCTTTAAATAAGCTCATTCAAATACAACATCCAAATAGAAAAATAAAAGTCTATGTGCAGAACCCTAGGAAAACATGACCCTTCCCCAAAAAGAGGGCCCAAATGTTTCCTTATGATATTGATGGTTAGACCAAAAGTACAAAATTCTGAGGCTGTAACTGGTTTATATAGAATTGAACACAATAGAATGGAATATTGGATCATACAATCAGAACATACAACATAAAGAATATTCAAACATGATCCTTGCCATTAATTATCCTCTTTAAGTTGACTTATTTAAGCCTATCTACTAATATAAACACTTGTTAGACCGTTCGGAAGAGGTCATGAAAACAACTTATGACAGGTCCATAAGCTGTTTTCAACTTATTGCTACAAACTCTACAAGATAGCTTATAAGAAAATAGTTTAACTTTATTTTATATTTCGTGATTGTGATAGCTTATACATAAACACTTATTTGATAAATGCTTGTGCTACAAGCACTTAATTAAGTCGTTTTCTGAACAAAGTTGTGTATCATGCATTATTAGATATACGAATTCATCTCATGAATTTGAAAGCCAACATAAACAAAGAATGTTTTAAATATAGTATGAGAAGTCTATATCTCATTCTCTTCTACCTTGAAGTCCTTTTGTTCTTTTCTTATTGTCATTACAATTATTCTTTTTTACTTGAAATAGAAATCTTACATGCGCCTGTTACTGTTTCAGCAAAATGGTCCCCATTTACCAATAGGGATTTTACTTTGAAGAAATTCTTTCAATGGAGGGAGATAGATAGGGACAACCCATTTCCCACATACCGAAAAAGGTTAGTTTTTTCTTCTCTCTTTCATGCTTTTTTTTTTTTCCTTTGTCTGCTTTTGCCTCATATCTTTGTCTAATTTTGCCTCCACTTTATCTTTTTCAGTTTACAATCTCTAGTTTTGGTGCTTTCCCTAACACATGATCAATACAACACATCATCTTGATACCAAATTAACAAACACTCAAAGTTTCCATTTTATCAATCATTAGGTACTACTACATTGCTGTTACTAAATATTAAATTATCAATGCTAGTTTATGTTTACTTTTAATTAACAACAATAGATAGTACATGCTTACTAATGATCAGAGCTTTTTTTTATTGTGCAGGTAGTTGAACAGAAGATTCTTTTTTATTCAAGATTTTTTTAATTGATTTTAGGGAATATTTATGATGACTGAATGAAGGTGGAAGATTGTCAGAATAATCATTTGGGCACTAACTTTATTTAATGTAATGTAAAGAGAATGAGAGTTTTGATGTATAGTGATTGCTGTCACAGTAAAAAAGATATTGAAGTTCATAATTGATTCCAGAAACTCTCTTGTGCTGAGTTCTCTGTCTGTGTCTGCAATCTGCATGATAATTTTTTTACTGATAAAGTTGGTTTTGAAATCAAAATAAATCAGTAAAGCACTATCGTTATAGTCGTCTCAAGTTTTTGGAAATTCTGTGTATGTCAGTCACAGTATAACCATGACAATTCAAATAGAGATTTTATTTAACAATATTTTATAAGACAATGTTTAGGCATGATTTTATCATGACAAATTTTAAACTTTATGCGATAGTCTCTCTTGCACGCACTCAAAAGAGTATGATTATTGTTGCTGAGGCTCTTCTTTTTACTAACGAGGAACAGTCTTTGAGTATTTAACAAAACCAAAAGAGGCATGCAAGTTTGGCGGGGAAAATTGTTGGAAGTTTTAATACAACAGGGCCCTCTCTTCTTTCAAGATGCTATTTACATGCCTTTCAATTGCTGTTGTTTACTTTTGACTGGATCGACCTTATATACTTTACCCTATTACCTGTTTTGTTTTGGTGTGTGTGTATATTTAGGATCCCTAAGAAAAGTTGAAACATTAACAATTGTAGAAAAGGACTAATGCTAAATCATTAGTTGAGTAATAGTTCTATAGGAAAGTAAACTAGTGGCACACATTCCACAATAATTACTTCACTCTCATTTTTTAAAATAGTTTCATAAAAGTTGTAATTGTACACAAATGTGAAGAAAACTCAAATATACTTACTATATTCAGTTACTTGAAATCTTGAATAATTGATCATCAATTTGCATGTAAGAACTCAATTGTTACAAATTGTAACAACTTGATAATTGGCTAAGTCTCCTAAAGTAAAAAATAATTTATCAAATTCTTTCTTGTTAGAACAAAAACGTGAGTACATATTAGAATAAAGATAAACATACAAAAGTTTTGTTTACGTAGTTTGGCCAAATTGTTTACGTCTGCGACTATAGAGTAACTATAGTTTCTTTTATTTATGTCTTGTGAATTGCATATAGATTAAAATGTTATAAGTCATATATATAATACGAGGTTTTGTCGTACTTCGAAAAATACGATCTTCGCGATGCGCAAAATTAGGGTTTGCACGATCACGAGTCGCCACCAAACTTTATTTATTCCACGATGGGAAAGGGAAAATATCGAGAAAACCCACAGGGTAAAGAGATAGGGTATGGTCATTGTAACCATGTTGGGTTCGGAAGTCGGTTATGTAAGGAGAAGGTGTTAGCACTCCCTACATCCATCGTACTCGATGTGAACCGTCTAAGTTGTCTAGGTATGTAAGTTGTTCGAGATCTTATTGCTTGCTAAGGGAAGAGAGTGATTGATTACTTGAGGAAAAAAATAAAGATGTTTTATTATTGAGTTCGTCTGAGTTTTCAACCTAATGCCTACGTATCCCAGAGGGAATCAGAACTCCATAGTTCTTGTTGAGAATATTTTTTGTTTGTTGTGTATTGTTTTATGGACGATGTTAGGAAGCATATCCTTTTTAAAAATTTTAAACGAAAAAGCCTAAAGGAAATAAGGTTTGAGATGTGTGAGGTGTTTTTTAGATTTTTGAAAAGAAGTTAGAAATAAGTTAAAGTATTTTTTTGGAAAAAAAATTTTTAGTTTTAAGAAAAAGAACTACTCGATAAAAGATCAAGGTTTGAATTTGTATGATAGTGATTGCAAAAGGCAACTGACTTATGAGGAAAGAAACCACTAGACATTGGATCAAAGGTTTGAGAAAAAGTTAGGTTGATTCCTAATCCCTAAGGGTGCTCCTAGAAAATGAAATCGCAACCAAAGAAAGAGAGAAACTGTTGGTATGAGGTTGACGGCGATGCTAAAAAACAATTGACTTACAAGTTGGGGTATGACTTGATATAAGAATCAATAACTTTTTGAGTTTGGTTGATCAAATCATAATAATGAGCAAATTTAAAAAGAAAAATCATCAAATAATTATCATCATATGGTTGAAGAAGAAGAAAGAGAAAAAAAACTAAAGTAAAATTAAAGAATTGTAAAAATTTGAGACCTTTTGAACTCTCCAAAACTTTTGTGTGCAAAATCGTGTGCAATTGTGTCACTGAGAGTTGTAGAATCAAGCTTCAAGGCTTTTGTGTTTTGATGAAGACAACTCATACAAGCTTGGTACGCAAGGCAAGATACTTACACTATATACCCGTAGGGGTATATTGAAGAGATGACCAGAAGCACTATATACCCGTGGGGGTATATATATTGAAGGTGAAACCAGAATCATCATTCTTCTAAAGACAATCGCAAAAAGTAAGAGACGCAAGCAAGCAAACAAGATCAACAAAGATCAAGAGAGTATCATCACATACAACTTTATCAATCAAAGCTTTGTCTACAAGCTACAAGTGAAAATGGTGATTCATGGAACGGTATAACATTTTTACTTTAGAAAATTTATACAAGTGTTCTTTAAAAATCACATTTCACTACACCACTTAACCTAATATTTTCAAAATTATTTTAAAATACTTGTTCTAATTGAAATTAAGTATTTTTACAAAAATATTAAGTGTTAACCGATTAACCATATAGGTTAACCGATTAACACAATTTAAAATTATGTTTTTGGGACTTCATAACAGTGTTAACCGATTAACCATATAGGTTAACTGATTAACACTTGTAAAATTTCAAATATTTGAATGTTGGAAAGGTGTTAACCGATTAACCTATTTGGTTAACCGATTAACCTATTTGGTTAACCGATTAACACTGTAACAGCAAGCAAAAATAGCAGCTTTTCATGAAGAATTGCATTCTTCTATATTTTCCTACTGGCTATTTTTTCTGTCCCAAAGTCATACCTTTTTAGAAAGGTTTTTTACTCTTATAAATTGATTTCAATTTCAAAATAAAAAAAATAACCTTCAAGAAACAAATTAATCAAATTACTCTTTGTCTTCAACCTTTTGAATTTTCAATAAGTGTTCAAATCATTTTTGAAAAAAGCGTTGAATTAACTTTCACATCTTCACAGCCTTCTTTCACAAAGAACACTTGTATATCTTATCTGAGTATAATTTGTTTCGAGAAGAGGATCAACCTTGAAGATTGATAAACAACTTTCCATCAATTATTTTATCAAGAACATTTTGTGTTTTACCTTGTTGTCCAGGACTGTTGGAAACAAGTGAAGTGTATTGAAGAGGATTGTTCTTCAACACTTTGATTACCTATATGTTTGGATAGTAAGCATCACTTTGGATGTGATTAGGCTGTACAATAATTCTAAACTATAGTGAAATTCTCTTTCGTGTTGAAAGGGGAGTGAAGTACCTTCGGAGTATGAAGGGAACCACTATAAATCTTCTTGTGTCTCTTTTTCTTTCTGCCTTTACTTTCAGTCATAACATAACAACAAGAAAAAGAACCAAGGAGCCTTAACAAGATTGATAATAATTTTTGAAGATCCTAATTCACCCCCCCCCCCCCCCCCCCCTCTCTTAGGCGCAGTTACTACTTACAAGAGTGTGTGTAAAATTATGA